CGCCCCAACAACCCCCTCCCGGGTAACAGGCTGCAGTGCCCCCTCCCCCCCTCCATTCTTCAGGTTATGATTAGACTAGGGAAACCAATAAAGAAGTGGTTTCAGTGTATATAGGGGGCTTTAAGTGCAGCCCAGTAGCCCACCACATGTCCAGAGGGCTGCACAATAGTTCCCTTGTAATATGCATCTGCCTCTGGGAGTCATGCCTGTAGCTGTGAGAATCTTGCAATGCCTCGTGGGATTTGTAGTTCCACCACAGCTTGGGGGGGGCAGAGTGCTGCACCGCAGACATGTATGAAAGACAAATAAATGCAGCTTTATATGCAACAGTAATTCATAAGATTTATTGATCGATTTGATGCAAGGAATGAAAGTACCCACATTTGGATTCCACATCCTCTTGCAATGTCCTCTACAACACCAAGCAGACTGGAAGAGTGAAAAGCAGCACAAGGAGTCTGTTGTGCTGCAGGGCTCATGTGCTAACAAGAAACATTCTAAAAGGAGCACAGAGCAGTGACAAATGAGCTCATCAATCTGCTGCTTCTTCACTGTCCAGTCACAGGCTGGGGGGGAAGGACAAGACCTGTAAGTGTTACTTAACTGCAACAGAGAAAAATCCAGTCTCCTCCCCTGCTATACAGGCTTGGGGTGTATGGGAGAGCTGTGCAAGTATTTGGACTGGATGGACAGAGGTACAAATCATTTGGCAGGTAAAACAGTTCCCTTCCATCCATTTCATCTCAGTATTCAGCTTTAAAGAAACTATGTAGTGAGAGAAGTAGAGAGACTGCTATTGCAGACTTCCTCTCTTTGAAATGCCAGTTGCCTAGCGGTCATTCCGATTCAGTGGTTTCATTACTCAATGAGCCAGAACAATACATTGAAGAGCTGCATATGCTACGGTAGTTGCCTGGTTATGCTGACCCACTGGCTTCACCATTTCACTGATCCAGAACAAGTATGCAGGTCGACAAGAGTCAGAAGTCCCCAACTACATACTTATTCCAGATCACTGACCCAGAGCATTTAGGCAAGGTCAGCATTAGCCAGGTTAACTAGTATTTCCAGGAGAGGTTACCAATGAAAGTTCCACTCATGACGATGTTTCCTCAATCCCATGGTTTGGCCTGTTTGGGGAAGGCATCGCGGTGAAAGAAAGCTGTGGGAGATATGCTGATATGCATTATGCATTAAGTGCTTCAGCTGAAACCTGCAGCCCCTGAGCTTAATATCTAGTTGGCATTAGAGCCATGTACAGACTTAAGGTGCCCATACACCTTATGATTATCGGACAAAACTTTTCGTCCGATGATCGAATAGTCGTACGATTTTCGTACGGCAGCCCCATTCTGACCCGATGATCGCAAGATTAATTTAGCCGTAATTAACGAAAAGCACCTGGAGAAAATGCGGTAATTGATTTGCCGTATTTTCGTTAGCGTAGTGTAGATCGTACGACTTTTGATGGATGGAAACGCCAGCAACCTTACGAAAAGCGTACGATCTAGCAAAGTTTTCAAACATGCTTGACCATCAAAAGTCGTACGATTGTACAGTAATGTCGGTCGGACACTGCAATGCACACATACGATTATCGTCCGAAAAGTCGATCGCATACGAAAATTGTCCGATAATCGTAAGGTGTATGGGCACCTTTGCCCTGCCAGTGATAGTCAATGATGCTGCCTTTTGTATTGCAACCAATCACAGAATAAAGTTTAGTACAAAGGACTTCTAAGCCTGTGCAATACGGCCTCTATGCATCATGATGTCCACACTACCCGTTATGATTAGGAACCGCTGAGCCTTTACAATACCATCCCCCTTGATCCCTACACTCCATGTTCTGGGCAGGGACAGCTGGGCCTGTAACACTGTCCCCTTGACCCCTACACTGCATGTTACAGGCAGGAACAGCTGACACTGTACAACACTGCCACTCTAGGCCAAGGATCCCTACACTAGCTGTTATGGGCAGTGACAGTACAACCTGTACAATACAGTCCCCCTAGATCAGGGGTAGCTGGCACTCCAGCTATTATAGAACTACAAGTCCCCTAAGGCATTGCAAGACAGAGAAACAGATGCATTTTGGGGATTTGTAGTTTCACCACAGCTGGAGGGGCCAGAATTTGGCAGCCCCTGCCCTAGACCAGGATCCCTACAGTCCCCCAATTCTGGAACACCCCTGTTATAGGCAGGAAATGAGAATACTTTACAATACTGTTCCCCTGGACTATGGATGTGTACAATCCCTGATGGACAGAAGTGCTGAGCCTGTACAATACTGTCCCCCTACACTGCCTGTTATATGAAGGGACTGCTGGGACAGCACAATGGTGTCATCCTAGTCCAGCAATCCCTACACTCACCCCATTACCTTTAATGGGCAGAGACTGGCAGGCCTATAGAATAGTGTCCCCCTGATCCCTACAACCCTTGTTGCAGACAGGAACTGTTGGGACTCCATAACAGCCCCCCACAGGACTATGGATCACTACTTACAACCACTCCACCAATGAATCCCTACATTTGGTGATGTAATTAGGAACTGCTGATACTACAATACTACCCCCCAGAGACTGTAACTCTCCCCCCATTGATCCCTACACTCCATGCCGAGACTACAATATTCCTCCCCTGGACCTGAACACCCCCCTATTATAGTGAGAAAACAGATACCCCTACTTCATTCTGACCAACAAAAAAAACCCTACTTCATTCTGACCAACAAAAAAACAATCCAGGCCAAGCCCCCATAGAACAGGGAGAAGAGTGTGATGCATGACACGGTATGCACCGCGGGTCACGTCGACACTGCCCGGGCCTGTCCTAGAATCCAAGGCCTGCTGCTAATCCCGCTACAGCAGGTAAGGGCAGGACGGCGAAGGACTACAAGAGCCAGCGGGCAGGACAAGGCCTCTGATTTCCCAGAGAGCCCCGCTGTTCCCCAGAGCCCATAGAGCAGGCAGGCAGACAGGTACAAGGCCCTCTCCAGCCCAGACACTGACCCGTCCCCCCCTACACCCCACACTGAGGACCGGCTACACACAGAGGACGGAGCGGAACACCCCGCACAGCCAACCATTATATCCCACTCCACACACACAGCACAAAGACATCACCTCACCGAACAGCACCGCACCAACACGAGGTAATCAAGATGGCGGAAATAGCAGAAGGGCGGGGCGTCACCTATGATGCATGCAGAGGGCGGATCCTGATGAGAGGCCGCGTACTGCATGTAGTCTGCAGGGGGGGGGACGTTTTACGGACAGACGCTGTGCCTAACACATTGCGGGGAATGCTGACAAAATATGTCTGACACAAGTTCTAGCGCAACAGGTGGCGTTGCCCATAACAACCTATCAGCTTCCATCTTTAATTTGTATCACACAGGAATTAGGAAATAAAAACATTAAAGCTGATTGGCCTGCCAGCCCCTTTCAGGTGGTTGATTTGTGCCTGCCACCCCCTTTCAGGCAAGAGAGCCCAAGGAAGCAAGCTGTGACGTTCGGGTCGGCATTCTGCCCAGCGCATGGCAACGGGTGACGTCACGCTGCCCCCCCGCCCCCCAACAACGTGCACCACTTGCATAAAACCCACTGCCCAACAACCACCTCCCGGGTAACATGCGGCAGTGCCCCCTCCCCCCCTCCATTCTTCAGGTTATGATTAGACTAGGGAAACCAATAAAGAAGTGGTTTCAGTGTATATAGGGGGCTTTAAGTGCAGCCCAGTAGCCCACCACATGTCCAGAGGGCTGCACAATAGTTCCCTTGTAATATGCATCTGCCTCTGGGAGTCATGCCTGTAGCTGTGAGAATCTTGCAATGCCTCGTGGGATTTGTAGTTCCACCACAGCTTGGGGGGGGCAGAGTTCGCCCACCCCTGCATTAAAGTATTTAAATAATTCTGAACAAGCAGTAAAGCACAGAGGACCCATTCAGACTTTGTCGTCCTGGTGCATTTCGTTAACGCACGTGTGCTAAGGTGCATTAGCACGAGTTTTGTTAATATGGGCCGGCAATTCACCAAAACATCCATACAAGGAACATGCACCATTTTCAGCAATGCAGCGCACCATAACGTATGGTAGTGGGTCACAGAATGTTGTGTTGTGCTGCAATGTCTGTATTTCGGAGCTGCCCTGCGTCAGTGCGTTGGGGTTCTATTCAAAATAAGTGGCACCACAACGCATTACCGCACTAGGGGCTCGTTCACACCAGCCCGCACACTAAAACATGCTTTTTTTATCAAAAACGTTTTTGAAATGTCACAAAACTGTCCAAAACACTCCATTCACCTGCATTACAGCGGGCTGTTTTAGCATGAGGGCCAGTGTCCATTGTGCAGCAGCGATAAGGAGTGGTGCCTTGCGTTGTTAGGTCAGTCTGGAGGCGTAGGCGTTCCTAGGCAAGTTGCCTCTGTTTGCAGACCACAGTAGGTAAGACCCACATTTGATGTTGTGCCTCCATGATTGAAATACCTGAAATCCAATGAATGAAAGTGCTAGATAATGTTGGACGTCCTACGGCCAGGAAATAAGGCGGGCTCTATCTGACTTGCTGCAGCTTCTAATGCACATTGT